CGTCTTTTTCGTCCAAGTATCTATTAAACTGTAATGTTTTTTAGAATCATTTTTGTGTTGATTGTTATAATTTTTTAGGCGCGGGCGCGCGCGCGCGAGAGAGAGAGAGGGAGAGACAGGAGAGGATAGGTACAATTATTCTTTCCTTAACTGCAATGAAAGAATATTTATCTGATGGTACATAATAATTGTATCATGAGAGAATCTGTAGAAATAAAATAGGAAGACAATGAAAAAAACGGAAATGAAACTGAACGAAATACATTTGGCTAGCATTCGAGAAGATCGAAGAACACATAAAGGAAAAGGAATCAGTCTATATAATTGCAAGAGAGAATGCAAAGAAAGAAATAGATTGTCGATAAATAAGAAAGAATAAATACCAAAAATATATATACGTTATATTTACTTACTTCAGGACAAGGTTAAAGACTTTACTGTGCTTAAATTTATGTAGCAGTTCTGTGGCGAAAATCCTCATTCGAATTCCTGATGTTTTGTCCAGGTTTGAAACCAGACTACTGGTGTCAATGAGAAATACACAGTACCTTTAGGCACCAAACTGGCATAATCTGTTAATTTCAAATTAATTTTTAAAAAAGTATTAATTTTTAATTACTCTGAAGTTGAGGATAAAAAAAGGACTAAGAGAAAAATAAAGTAGTAAAGATGACAAAAAATACAAAAATAGATAATGCGACAGTGATGTGAAGGTGAAGAGAAAGAAGAAAAATATAGAAGAAGAGGGGAAAAGATCGGTGGGGAAAAGAAAAATGAAATAGCGGGGGGAGACATGTAGCCGCAGAGAATGAAGAAAACGGAAAAAATAAAGAAGACCCGCCTCCAAAAAAAAATTAAGGTAATTTTCTGAGACGTGAAGAGAAAGAAGGAACAGGAAAGATGAAGAAGAAAAAGAAAAAGGAAAAAAAAGGAAAAAACAGGAAAATGAAAAAGAGAAAATCAGGAAAAAAGAAAAAGATGATAATGCGGTGGAGAAAAAAAGAAGAAAATAGAGATGAAGAAAGAGAAAAAAGAAAAGAGAAAAGATAATATGGTGATGGCGTTAAGAAGAAGAGAAAAAAGAAAAGAGAAAAGATAATATGGTGATGGCGTTAAGAAGAAGAAAAAAAAGAAAAGAGAAAAGATAATATGGTGATGGCGTTAAGAAGAAGAAAAAAAAGAAAAGAGAAAAGATAATATGGTGATGGCGTTAAGAAGAAGAAAAAAAAAAAGAGAAAAGATAATATGGTGATGGCGTTAAGAAGAAGAAAAAAAGAAAAGAAAAAGATAATATGGTGATGGCGTTAAGAAGAAGAGAAAAAAAAAGAGAAAAGATAATATGGTGATGGCGTTAAAGAAGAAAAAAAAAAAAAGAAAAAGATAATATGGTGATGGCGTTAAGAAGAAGAAAAAAAAGAAAAGAGAAAAGATAATATGGTGATGGCGTTAAGAAGAAGAGAAAAAAGAAAAGAGAAAAGATAATATGGTGATGGCGTTAAGAAGAAGAGAAAAAAGAAAAGAGAAAAGATAATATGGTGATGGCGTTAAGAAGAAGAAAAAAAAGAAAAGAGAAAAGATAATATGGTGATGGCGTTAAGAAGAAGAGAAAAGAAAAGAGAAAAGATAATATGGTGATGGCGTTAAGAAGAAGAAAAAAACGAAAATAAAATCGACGAAGAAAAAGAAAAAAAAAGACGAAAATGTGGCAGGACGTGAATGCGGATATAAAGATGAAAATAGAAACAATGAATAAAATGACTGTGAAAAAAAGTGTGAGGAAAATTAATGCAGACGAGAAGTAATGTTGAAGGGAAAGACGAAAATAGAAAGGATGAAGAAACAGAAAAGGATAAAGAAAAGGAAAAATATCAAGGGAAAAAAAAAGATGATAATGCGATGGAGACACGAAAGCGAAGAGGAAGAAGAAAATATAAAGGATAAAGAAAAGGAAAAAGAAAAGAAAAAAACACGGAAAAAGAAATGGAAAAAATGATAATGCGGAGTAGATGAAGAAGAGGAAGAGTAAAATAGAGAAGATGAAGGACAAGATCAGAAAAAGAAAATAAAGGGAAAATATAAAACGCGGAATGACTTTAAAGAGAAGAGAAAAAAGAAAATAGAATTGACAAAGAAAAAGAAAAGGAAAAATAATTAGACTGAGCACGAAGGCGAAAAGAATGAGAAAAATAGAAAAAATGAAGAAAAAGTTGGGGGAAAAAGACAAGAGGAAAAAAATAACGTGGCGGAGAATTGAAGGAGGGGGTGAAAAAAGAAAATAAAAAGGATGAAGAAAATGAAAAGGAAAAAAAATCAGGCGAAAAGAAAATGTGATAATGCAATGGAGATGCAATAGCAAAGATGAAGAATAAAATAGAAAGGATGAAGAAAAAGATCGAGGGAAAAGGGGGGAAAAACGAAAAGAAAAATGGTCAATTATAAATGTGATAAACAAAAGGATTTTTGATGAGACATTTCCATTGATAAACAAAGCCAGTAACATTTTGACGTAGCAATATATTCTAAAATTCCCGTTTTTAATTAAATAACTTTTTTAATGTCTCCAAAAATTTTAAAGTAAATTCTATCACATTTAAGACTATATATAATTTTTAGATATATCGATTTTAGATGGTTTTTATTTTATTCTTGTTTCAATTTCTTTTAAAAGTTTAGAATGAATTTTCTATTCTTCTCCAAAATGACTACAATTTATATTTTATATCTTATTTTATTTTCCATTCTTTTAATTTATTTATTTTTTGCCTTTTAATATTTTTCCTTGGCTATCGACAAAAGACGATTTTCCTGCTGTTACGCAGAGATAAAGCCTGTAGATTTTATTTGAATTGAAATATTAATTTTGCCATATGACTTTTCCATTTTTTCTTCCAATGGAATCAAATTTTACTGCAAGTCAGAAATATTAGCATATTTTTATTTTTATCGTTGTTCTTTTCACTGTAGATCCGAGGCCAAATATCCAGTTGAATATTTTTCCTATCTTTTTTCTTGTCCAATCGTAGACAAATGTCCCCATTACTTAAAGTCAGACAAGGATTTTTGCATTGGCAGACATAAACATAAAAGACACTGACAGTCGTCTACGCTAGAAATTGAAAAACGCTAATGATTTAAAGACGAAAATATGAGAGAATTGAGTGAATCAACATACTCCCCCACATACACACAAGTGACTTAAGAGACTTAAAATGGGGTTTGAATTTAATATATTCAATTTAATTATAAGTTTTAAATTATTCTGTTTGGTTTCTTCATAAACTTTACGACAAAGCAGATTTGCATGTAAGTAATATATTACTTATATAAATATATTAAAGTAGATTTAAGAAAATAACCCTGTATGTCATGAACAATGAATCTTTTCGCCTTTGTCGTGAATGAAAATAGATATATCAGCTATTTTACTGCTACGACTTTCTTGATAGTGAATATTTGAATTTCTATTGTCTAAGTACTAATTGATATATATCTATATTTTTGAGATGGGGGCATTGTAATAATTTACACTTTTTATCTTATTCGGGTTGTTGTCCTCATCTTCATTATCATAGTCACGGTGTTTCGGATGTTGTACGCTCTGACTCCAACATATATCAACTGAAGAAGGCCAGAGCGTAAAACGGCCGAAACGTCATGAATATGACAATGAAGATGAGGACAGCTGTTCAAATAATGTAAATAGTGTAAATGTTCACTCATAGGGACAAGGACAATGAACAAAGTTTGGTATTATTCCGGCATGGACATTGCACTCAGATTTCACGCCAGAGATTCATAGGAGCCAGGTATAAGGTTGATCTGTGGTTACTCCCGGCCACCTTATGCAGAAGTACGCGCCCGCACACCTGCACGGTATTATAAGCATGAGAACGAGAACGTTGAAATGATAGATATAAAACAATCACCCCAAAGATATTATAAGAAATTTCTCATTCATTGTAGGCGAAGAATGTATGGTCCGTAGGTCAAAGAAGGAAGCAACGACAAGAGTCGCACCATTTGTTGAGAGTAAATAATGGAGAGAATTAATTGTTAAGCAGTGACGATTCAAGTCTCATGTTATCATTTAACCGGCACCACCATTTCTTTACAAAAACCAGGGAATGATGATTTCATGTCTTCAACTTTGAGTCCAGTAGATAATCGACTTTAACAATTTTCAATGATAATTCAATCTCAGTTCTTCCTAACGCAAAATTATATTCACTGATTTGTTTGTCCACGTTTTATCAAACTTTTGCAGGTTATTTAAGACCAGAAAATATTTTTAAAATGTAAGATTGTTGTGAATAATACTGATTTACTGATACAATTCTTGCTAACTGACCCATAGTTGGTGGGGAGAAGCTGATTCATCCCTTTTCCAAGAGTGTTTGCATGGAAGTGATATAACGAACCCGATTGGGATTGAAATTGTCATCCATTATACTAACCGCACATCCAAACTGGTATTCCCAAGCGGTCACCCATCGAGGTAATGATCAGATTCGAAGATGCATATATTCGTTGATTGTATGGGAACCAATGTTTCAACATGATACGGTCGTTGGCCTACAACCTTATAATGTGTATGCTAATTCACATATCTGGAAAGAAAGTCATATCTTTTATTTGCCCTGATAAATTTCAATTTGCTATTTCTTATGTAAGTAACAGATATGTATATAACATAATTTTACGATATTTCCTTTTTCTTTCAGGAATTTGTAATTCCGTGTTGAATAATTTTCAATGAATTTGATACAGGAAATCAGTCCAGATTTGATCCATTTGAGACACTGAATGAAGTGGGAATTGTTAGCTTTAAAAGCAAATAGACGTATTTGTAAGGCCTATGAACCTAAGGTTTCATATGTTAGCGATGCTGACGATGGTCGAATTATGTTACTCTCAAAGTTTTCCGTCATTTTCATGGATTAAAAATATTCGACAATCATAATCTTCTCAGCATAATTGGAAGTAAGTTCTAAGCTGAGAGAAAAGTGTTCAATGGATCAATAAATGACATACAACAGACGTAACACGTCTCCACAACACCAGAATTTTGTTAAATATATTCTACATGATGTGAACGTTTTTCCAATTTTTTTTTTTTTTTTTTTAAGCATTTCACCCCAAGCAAGGCGGGGAGCCACTAGGACGCAAGGGGTTACAGAAAATAGGAAGATCAGATAGGAGTGATAGAAGAAAGGATGAGGGTAGTAGATAGATTAAGGCAACTGGAGATGTCGATTGACATTACACTTGAATAGCTGGAGATTATAACTCTCAGGGAAACAGGAGAAGGGAAGAGAGTTCCACAGGCGAGAGGTGCGAGACATGAAGCTATTAGAGTAGTAGAGACGGCTACATTTATGAGTTTCGACAGTGAAGGGGTGAGAGCGGGATGCCAGCCTCGTAGGGCGCTTGAACTCATGAAGTCTGGGAACCAGCGAATGCAGTTCCTCGGAGCAATTTCCATGAAAGTATTTGTAGAACAGACAGAGGGAGGCGACGGTGCGTCTGTGAGAAAGTGACTGTAGACGAGACGCCAGGGTAGGGCCAACCATATTACATATCCGCCTCTGGAGCCTATCAAGAACCCCGAGGCAAACAGAAGGGGCGCCAGACCATATATGGCAGCAATACTCCATGCAAGGGCGAATTGTGGATTTGTATATCTGGAGGATCGACTCAGGGAGAAAAACTTCCCTAGCACGGCTCAGGGAGCCAACTTTCCTCGCAGTGGACGAGGCAATTGACTCGATGTATTTATTCCATCTCAGGTCAGCAGTCAACGTGGAGACCAAGAAGCCGCAGAGAGTTGCTCTCAGGAAGTTGAGCGTCAGACATTATAATGGAGGGAAGGAAGGCTCTCTGTGGTGATTAATAGAGAGCAGTTTAGTCTTCGAAGCGTTGAAGTTGACCAGCCAAATCTTGCCCCAGTTCACAATCGATTGGAGGTCCTTTTCGAGGCGCACGGCAAGGTGAGTTTTGTCAGCGAGACTGGATTTGTTTTTGAGGCAGGAATAAATTGTGGTGTCATCCGCGTAGATGCCGACTTGAGAAGTTACGGCGTCAGGAAGGTCATTTATATAGATAAGGAATAGAGTGGGGCCCTAGGATGGAGCCTTGAGGAACTCCTGCGTTCGTGGGGTAGGAACTGGAGGAGAATCCGTTGTGAACGACCTTCAATTCACGGTTTGACAGGAATGATTGTATTACGTTATATAATTGACCCGTAATGCCATAACCCTGGATCTTGCGGAGAAGGCCGGCGTGCCAAACCCTATCAAATGCTTTGGAGATATCTAGTGCCACGGCTCGGGCTTCCCCGTTATTTTGGAGAGTTCGGTAAACTGTTTCCGTGATGGCTGTGAGCACATCGGAATTAATTAGTTAAAATGAAAGATAAAACACGCTACCAAATTACTTCTGGAGTGAATCTCCAATAAGGGAAAATGGGCGCTTATTAATTATTATTTTGCAAAAAAATCAACAGTTACATACAAATACAGGTATTACACCTTAATAATATAATATTCCCTGTTTGGGTTGCACATAATGTCTATAATGAAATGCTGAGGAAACGGACAATTCTGTGAGATATTATTGTCAACTGCAAGCACTAAACCAGTCCTTTTTTTCAAAGTCGTCGCGCTCTACTGACAAACTGGAACAGTTTGACGCGCATGAATGACAAAGCATGAACACACATTGCAAAATGAACGCAGACCAAGATTTTGGTTCTAAATATGAAACTTCTACGTCAGCCATCCGTTAGAGTTTAAACTTTTTAAGATCTTGAACTGATATCCTGTAATAGAGGAAGGCACGAAGATTATTTAAAAAGTTAAAAAGGCGGAGATTGTTTTCTCTCCCAAACCCAAATCATAACTTAAATCTTCGATAGGATTACGTCAGGGTAAATGAAGGTGAATAATCTATTTATTTATTATTTATTAGCAGGGGAAAATAAACACTCCTATCTTTCTTTTTTTCAAAGAAACTAAGTGGCGTCTGATATGTCATTTGTTTCCTCGCAATCAAAACATTATTTAGGTATTTACAGGGCGTAACGATATGACACTTAGAAATATAACGAAACTATCCATATATATATATATATATATATATATATATATATATATATATATATATATATATATATATACAGGTGTATAAAAATGCTTTTACAGATTCATCACGCCAAATCAATGACAAAAGTTCATATAAACATATATCCGCAAGTCCTTCGTTTTTGAGTTATTAAGTTTAAAGAAAGTTTACGGTAGATGGCAGTGTGTGCCCATACAGACTATGTTACATTTATCATTCGTGTACATTTGCGGCTAGTATGTTTCAACGTTTAATGTGTGCAGTAATGAGTTCACTGAGAAGTGTTCCGTCTAACAATTGCAGGATATTCATATCATGAATAGGTAGATATGACTTTTGCATACGGCCGTGTGAATGGTAATGGACGCGAGGCTGCTCAGC